CTGACTCTGACTCTGACCTGACCTGACCTGACCTGACTCTGACCTGACCTGATCTGACTCTGACCTGACTCTGACTCTGACCTGACTCTGACTCTGACTCTGACCTGACCTGACCTGACCTGACCTAGTCTGGACCCGGTCCGGCCCACGAGGACTGTAGGACCTGACCCCTGTCGTGTGTCTTGTCAGTCAGGTCTCAGACCTGAGCCAGGAGCTTCAGAGGACAGAGGTCAAAGGTCAGGTGGACTCAGAGTCTCTGCTGGACCAGCTGAAGGACCTGACCTCAGAGAACACAGCTGTAAAACTGGAGAACCGGTCCCTGAAGGTAGAACTGAACCCCCCTGTTACCAGGTCCAGTCTGGTCTGGAGGACTGGTCTGACCCTGGACGGTCTGGTGGTTTGTCTCAGTCCACAGTGTCCTCGGTGGAGGACCGTCTGTCTGCGTGTCAGTCTGAGCTCCTGCAGGTCCGCTCCTCCATCAGGCAGCATGAAGACCTGCTGGAGTCCTACAAGCTGCAGGTGGGTCCGCTTCAGTCCAGACCTCATGTCCTGCCTCCATGTTGTCCCGTCTCCAGGTCCTAAAGTTCTGTTGGACCTGCTCTGCAGGTCGGGAAGACCCGGGCCGAGGCCGACGAGTACCGAGCCCATCTGGACCAGGCTGAGCGGGAGGCCCGGTCCGTACGGGAGGAGCTGGACCAGGAGGTCCAGGAGGTGCGCCGGGGTCTGCTGGTCCGGCTGGAGGAGCTGGAGGCCCTGCCTGAGGCCCTGCACCGCTCCCAGGACCTCMTGAAGGACGCCCAGGACCACCAGGACAGCTTGGAGAAACAGAACCTGGAGCTCAGCAGGACCCTGACCCAGCTGAGGACCAAGGTCTGACCCAGCAACACTGACCCCCAACAAAACATGTAGAGTCAGGTTCTGGATCAGGGGTTCTGGGGGTTCTGATTCCAGGGTTCTTGTCTTGGTCCAGGTGGAGACTCAGGGAAGCCAAATGGACCTCCTCAGACAGAAGAAGAAGGTTCTGATGGAGGAGAACCGTCAGGTCCAGCAGCAGGTCCAGACTCTGGAGAGGTCAGTTCAGACTGAGACAGACCTGCAGGTCCAGTAGGACCCACCTGAACCAGTTCTGATATGTCCACAGGAAGCTGGAGGAGGCGGTCCGTCAGAACTCAGACCTTCTTGCTCTCGTGGCTAACCGGGACAAAGCAGTCCAGGACAACCGGGTGTCTCTGGAGGACAAGACCCGGGAGTGTTCTGTCCTGAGCCGCCGGCTGGAGGAGGTTCTGGAAGACGCTCGCCAGCAGGTGACCCAGATCCTGGACCCCCTCTGAGGTTTAGTCCTCCATGAAAGCCAGCATGCTGAGCAGAGACCCGGTTCTGTTCTGTTTCAGATCTCAGAGACCAGAGACCGGGCTGCTGCTAAAGAACACTCCACCCAGTCCAAGATCCTGGACCTGGAGACCCAGCTCAGCAGGACCACCTCAGAGATCGAGAAGCTGAAGCGCAGCAAGGAGGAGGTACAGGTCTGACTCCAGTTCTGGCTCTTTAGGGGTCTTTAGGGGTCCAACATGTGCGTGAGCTCCCTGGTTCTGATTGTCAGGTGGAGAGGCGGTACCAGAGCCGAGTGCAGGACCTGAAGGACCGCCTGGACCAGTCGGACAGCACCAACCAGAGTCTGCAGAACTATGTCCAGTTCCTCAAGACCTCCTACTCTAATGTGTTCAGCGACGTGGTCCTCAGAGCCCCCCTGTAGACCCCTGCAGACCCCCTGTAGACCCCTGTAGACCCCCTGTAGACCCCCTGTAGACCCCTGCAGACCCCCTGTAGACCCCTGTAGACCCCCTGTAGACCCCCTGTAGACCCCTGCAGATCCCTGCAGACCCCTGTAGACCCC